TCTGCTCCTGCCTCCGCTTCTCCCAGCTCACCCAGGCCTTAGAAAAGCATCTGCCCTGCCTGCAGCCTCGTGGAGTCTGAGCCCAAATTCTCCCCCGCCCCCGAAACTTCTGGGTGTGCAGGCTAAATCCACCCAGTAACACTCAACTCACTCCTACCTCCCCACAGGGGACTCTTAAAGACACAGCTCCCTAGTAGGTGACTGGGTTGCACATGCTCTGGTTTGGTTCATTTAACATTCCTACTTAATTGCTCTTTTCACATATAGACATACAGCCCCGCCCCACCCAGACTGTTCTGGCATTCCAACATAATTTGTAACCAAGTATTACCCTGTCCCACTGATCATCCAGGTTCCACCAAGTTTCTCTGATGCCTGCTTCACTCCTCATTTCATACCTTGAGTTCACCCAATTGATTCATTAGACCTCTGCTGTTTGTGCACTGACACTTAAAATTGTACCTGTTTCGCTGCCGGCCTGCACACGATGGGATTCAATGAATTTAGAGATTTCCAAATGCTCCTGTGTGAGTTCGGGACTTAACTACTATTGACCTGCAGTGGGAAAATTTGGTGCCTAACTCCCTTTGACACTTTAAAAAATCTAGTCCAGCATCTTCATAGGCAAACCTGACCCTCCTAACGTTACCAGCTGCCCCCGAAAACATCAGGAGGTGAGTTTGAAAGGGCATGTGGGTTCTTCTGTTCTTTCTGATTCCTTGGAGGGCTATTTCCAGCGTTCCTTTGCAATGAGAGAGGCTAGAAACTTACCTGAAAAGCAAAGGAAGCTGAAATTCCTACCTGAACATCTGATTCCAGGACCGGAGAGGCTGAGAAAAACGAGAAGCAGGATTGTAGCTGCACTCTCCTTGTGGGTGAGGTTGTGCAGTGTTGCTATTTGTGTTACTGAATCAGTTGCAATACTGGGGAAACCCACACCCAGCCACTTTCCTGGGGATCTTACGCAAAAACAAAACAAAAAAAGGCCACACTGCTTGTTTTTGTGCAAAATCCTCTTCCCAAAAATGGACTGCAAGAGATTATGCAAATGAAGCATGAGAAAATGCTAATCCGTGCTTCATTTGCATTGCCTCTTCCAGCAAAGTGCGTAGTGCAGCCGTAACCTCAGGTATGACAGCGGAGCAGCCAGACGGCGACTCAGAGCTTGTCAGCCCAAACCAGAGACTCCCCCGAACCAGGAGCTGCAGCCAAGGGGGGTTTCTCAGAGCACAGGCCGAGGGGCGACCTGCCCCACCTCACAGCAAAGGGCCCTTCCAGCCAACTGAGAGGAGCTAGAAAGAGAGGAAGTGACGTCATGACTGGGACCCCCCTCAACCAAGCCCTTGGAGACATATCTGGGTACCAGGGCAGTGGGCGGGTGTCCTGGCCAGAGGAGAGTCCCAGTCCGTTGGCTGGGATCTGCCCCCGGCTGGTCCCATCTGTCGGGGGATGCGGCTCGGTTCAAATCCGGCTTCGTTTGCAGCCCCCAGCCTGCGAGTTCCCTTCTGTTTCCCAGGTGCCAGCTGGGACCCTGCGCTGGCTGCTCCCCACCCTGGGCTGGCTCTCACTGTCCCCCTCACATGTTTTGGTCGCAGGGTTTGGGATACTCCAGGCTGGCTCCAAGAGCTGGGAGATTGGGGGGGGACTCTACTGTCAGAGGAGGGGCAGGCTGAGCACGGAGCTGCCCCAGGCCAGGCTCTGAGCAGAGCTGCAGGGGGCAGCTCTGGGGGTAGGGCAGGGATCTGGGGATTGGTTGGAGCCCCCTGTTGTGAGCTCTGGCCTGGCTGGAGGGTGACTCGTGTCTCCCACCCCCTGGAGGCTGAAGGGTGGTGGGCCTCACAAATCAACCCCCACCCAGCTGGGTCTGGTGCCTTCCCAGGTGTGAAAGAGCTGGAGTTTTGCAGCAACAGGGCCCCAGCTCGGCGCCTGCTCTAGGGCTGCAGCTGCCCCAGATGTGGCCACATCTGCGTCACGAGAGGGCCCAGTGCTGGGCAGAGCCGTTTGAGGCCTGCACGGAGTCGGACGCCTCGGGGGCTTCCCAGAATCCCTTCATGAACATCTCTACCCCGCTCAGCCACCTCCCCGCCTGGTCCACCCTGCTCCCGAAAGGGCAGCTCCACAGAGGTGGCCGCGGGTGTGGTATGTGTCATGAGAGGATCAGTTCTGAGATGCCGGGTCTGATTCCTCCAGGACATAGATTAGCAAGTGAGATTCAACCTTCCAGTTTCTATTCTGGGGTGAAATCCTACATGGTTCCCCAAATCTACCCCTCCCCCAAAGCCCTATCAGCGGGCAACGACCCTGAAGACCAGTGGCTCTCAATCTTCCCAGTCTCCTGTTCCTCTCTTAGCGCTCTGACTTGTCCTCAAGGTTCTCCGCACTTCAGAATGACTTGTGTGCCAAATCAGAGCTAGAAATACAAGTGTCCATGGGCACCGCTGCTGACAAATGGTTTGCCTTCATGTATTACCAGGCCATTGTCAAATATATTGCATAGAGCAGAGTAAATACCTGGGAGGGGAATTCTGTGTGAAAAATTAAAACTTCGACGAGAAAAAAAATTAGATCTGCTGCACAAAATGGGTACGTCAAAACTACGGGCTTTTGTCGACAGATACTGTCAACAAAGTTTCTGTCAACAAAGAGCGTCTAGACTACATCCTGTTCTGTAGACAAAGCAAGCCACTGTCAACATGAGAGTGTAGACGCAAAGGACACTGTAGATGCAATAACGCCTTCTGTTGCCAGAACTCTGTCGCCAAAAGGTGTTATTCCTCATGGAATGAGGTTTACTGTCATCGACAAAACTTCCGATTTCTGTCGACATTATGTTGACAGGACTCCGTGGTAGTGTATAGTCTTGTCGACAAAAGTGGACTTTTGTCGACAAAACCCTGTAGTCTAGACACACCCAATAGTTTAAAATTCTGCAAAATTCTGCATCTTTTATTTGTCAGACGAACACAATATAACCTGCCCCCATTTCCATCATTATTTTAGCAACACCTGTGAGCAAGCATGTGACAAAACAGAAACCGAAGAAGATTCAGGAACTGGGCTTTGAGAAATAGATTCCTCACCAGGCACATGAATTCAGAACGGCGAGTGCCAGTCCGTGTGCACTGCCATGCAGAACTGCAGTGCCCCACTCCCAGGAGCAGGGCAAAGACTGGGGAAGTGGGCCGTCAGAATAGGGAAATGGTGACTGGGATCCTGGCTGTTAATCCTGCGCTCTGGTTTCTGTGGTCTCTAGCCCAGTGGGGAGGTTTCCTTAGGGCTCAGATCTCATGCGGCCAATTCCCAGCCAGGCTCTGGTCTCCTGCCCCAGCTGGGGGATGATCAGAGGGGTCAAGGTCCGGGTTGGGGTCTCTGCTCCTGGGATCTCACCCAGGGGAGATGGCTGGACGTGTTGGTCTCAGCCCCAGCTTTCTGCTGGCTGCCCTGCCCCCCTGGCCATGAGCTTGTGATTCACGTGACAGCTGCATGGAGCAATGGCCGCTGGAAACCTTCCAGGCTTTGCAGAAGTGATCAGACCCAGCTACATCCTGTGGTCTCCCCCCACTGTTCACCCTCCCAGATACACCCACACACACGGCTTCCTGCTGCCAGATGAACCAGTCTGGGTGAGTTACAGGAGTTGTGTGGGGGCCTGAGACAGGGCTCGACTTGGAGACGCTGAATCCTCACAAGACACGGGTAAGGAAATGAGGGAACAGGGTGTCATTCTGCCCTCCCCCCCAGAGCTATTCCCTGGATCACCCCCTTCCTCCGGCCCCATCCACTCCTCTCATCCCGCTGGCTAGAGACAGTTGACATTAGTTTTGTCCCATGGTGAGAGGTCATGAGTCCCCGTCCCACTGGGTGTTGAGCGACACTGTCCAAGCTCAGGGGTCCCATCTCAAGGGGTGCTGCACAGGAAAATGTTTGGAGGGGAAACTGAGGCCCAAAGCTGTGAAGTCTCGGTGGCAGAGTCTGGGATGGACCCAGGAGTCCTGACTCTCCCCCCAGCCACTCAAATTGACTCTTGCAAAAGCCTTTCATTAAACAAAAGGTGTTAACAGCCTCGCTTTTCTCTGGTGCTCTGCCCGGGGCCTTGTTTGCTGTTGCTGTTGCTGTTGCTGAAAGCCTGAAAATCCCTTTAATTTTTTTTTTAAAAGGGCCAGGGGAGAGGGAGGATTCGTCACTGGTTAAATTCTCAAAAAAGAGAAAGATTTGCCAGCCCTTTTGGAAAACCAACAGCAAAAAGAGTATTTGGGACTTTTAGGCCCTGTCTACATGACAGAGATCGAACCTGTTGCTGTTAATCTGCTGGGGTTCAATTCAACCGCTCAAGTGAAACCCCTGAGAGGGGCGTGCTGGTCGAGGCCAGTAACCCTGCTCCAACGCAGAGTAAGGGAAGTGGAAGGGAGCTGAAAGCTGAGTAAAGATGAACGGAGCTGAAGCTGAACATGGCTGAATTCAACCTTGTCCTATAGTGTGGGCCAGCGCTGAGCAGGGCTCGGAGGGGAGGGCAGTGGAGGGGAAGAGGGAAGGTCTCCGGAGCTCCGTCTCTGTGTCTGAGCAACTCGCCCCTCCTGCCTCGTCGCCAGCTTCGAAATATGAATGATCAGGAAGAAGCTAAAATGGTTTATTGAAATTGGCTGGGTCACCCCTCCCGTTCCGAATGTAAAACCAAAACCCATTTGGGGCTGGGTCCAGAGAAAACAAACCCTGCATCGTGGCAGTGACCTCACTGAGATGACCCTTTCTGTCCCCTGCTCGCCCTGCAGTTCGCTGCTTCTAAGGGCTTTGTACCACTGGGGCCATCGGCCCACGAGGATTCGATCCCACCTCAGCTCAGCCCAGGGACTGGGAGTTTATAAACGCCACCTCTGTCTCTCTGTCCCCGTCCTGGGGCCCTTTTCACTGCTCTCCCTTCCTCCCCTCAGCCCAGCGTCTGCCCCACCCCCACCCAACCCTGAGGAGAAGGGGGCCATATTGTGAGAGCAGGTCCTCCAAGAATGGAGTTTCTCTTGGTCTTCTTGCTGGTGCTGTGTGGCTTGGCCTTCCTCGCCGGGGCACCATTGAACGGCTACGTCCTCTTTGTCACTGGCTGCCGTGTGGAGAGGACGGCCAGCGCAGTGTGGTACCTCAACCGGGCCGTGTCCGATTTAATCTTCATCCTCTGCCTGCCCGTCAGACTCACCTTCATCTTCATCCAGGACATAGACTGGGCCAGGAGGCTGAGCAGCTCCATCACCTCCCTGCACATGCTCTCCAGTGCCTTCCTCCTCATGGCCATCTGTATCCATTGCTGCATCCTCATGGCACGGCCTGAGTGGGCCCAGAAACGCCGCACGCCCTGCCTGGCCTGCTGGGTGGCTCTGGGCACATGGGCCCTGTCTGCCGGGTTCAGCTTGCGGTACAGTGACCTCTGGGAATCCCTCCCCCCACCTGCCAGAACCAGCATGAATTTGCAACTGGATATAGAGAGGGCTAAGGCCGCAGTTGCTATCCAGTTCCTGGCCGGGTTTCTGATCCCATTAGCCTTGAGCCTGATCCCAACCTTCTGCGTCGTTCACACTGCCAGGCTGGGAAGGAACCGGCTGATCCAGGCCACCCAGCCCCTCAAGATCCTTCTTGGCTTCATTCCAACCTTTTTCCTCTGCTGGCTGCCCTATCACATCTTCTCCTACTTGCAGCTCTCAGCTACGCACCCTCGGCCTCTTCTGGAAATAGGAAGCACATCTGCTTGTGTCCTGACGTATGTCAACAGCTGCCTCAACCCCATCTTCTACCTCACCTTGGAGGAAGAGTTTCTGCGGTACCAACAACGTGCTCGCAACCCCCACACCACCGACCACTCAGGGCCAGAACCAGCCGACTGGCCCCATCCCTCCAGCCCTCTCCACCATGAGCTGCACCAAGTAAGGCAAATTTTAGGGGACGCAGGGCCTGGAATGTCAAAGTTGCACCTAGAAAAATTCAGCCTGGACATGAAGGGGATGTTTTGAACGGCCAGACACACTGACCCAGGGAGCAATTTCACAAGGGTCGTGGTGGATCCTGGACGCTCCCTCCCAATACACAAATGTGCAGCTGGGTAGGGTGCCACCAAATGGCACCAACTTTCATGGTGCTCTACGTAGCTGCCCGCTGTGTGTGTGGCATTGCCAGCTCTAGGTGCCATCCCCATCCTCCAGCCAGTCCCCCCAAGGGACTTCCCCGCGGA